GACTTCTGTGCAGTTAAATCATTCTTATTTACTTTTCTTTTACCACAATAAACCTACTATGTATTCTACTTTTCCCGTGAGGTTACAATCCATGTTTCACTTACTTCATTATCTATGGTTATTTTCGTCTATTACGTAGATACACTTGTGTGAAACCTGATTCTAAACATAGACTAAGATTGAATATTTTAAAAATAGTCTCTCAATAAAAACATTTAATGGCACTATACAATAGGCATTTACTTTATTGTCCGAAAATATGGACGATAGCGCGCGTTATACAAGGTATAGCTACTACAGATGTACATTTGAATAGGTGCAATATAGAACCTGGTTTCACAATCAACCTCGCTTTGTTCACAAATAATCAATAAGTCAATATTTCTTTCTCCAGTGTCCATATGTTGTTGTCATATTTTCGCGTATGTAAAAAACGCTTATAGAAAAGAAATAGCAACGCTAATTTCAACTCATTTTTATCAATAAAGATAAAGGTGGGCATAATTATCTGTTTAGTATTTATACACATAGATAGGAGAAAAAAAACTATGACTCACGCACCTTCCGTACAAACTTGTATGCAGATAATCAGTCCGGCTCGAGAATCGATTCTCGAAGGTCCTTGTCTGTTCTCTTCCTAAGGAGGAAAGTAAATTGCTTTTAAAGCGTCATCATCAGCCTATCGCAGTCCACTGCTGGTCATAGGCCTATATATAATAGGTTGGATATAATGATATATCTCCTCTCATTTTAAAGCATAATACACAGATATTGTGGAAGCACGGGTGTCATATCCCTCCAACACAAAGGTCATGATGCCTCGACCATGATCATGAGGCGGGCCGCGGCTCAACGGTTAATGTTGGGAAGTTGTATAGATATATAAAAACATTAATAACAAACATTTATTTGCGAAAATTTAAAGTAAAGAGATAATGTCAGAATTTGTGTCAAAAAAATTACAATAATTTATGATGTCAATTTTAAAATAGTAGTTCATGAGTCAAATTAACTAGATTGTAGTAGATATCATTTAATAAAGAAAAGTATATTGATTATATTAGATATTTGTCTTCTAAGTATTTATTAACACTGTAGTATATTTGTTGTTGTAATAAGTATAATCTTTAATTTCAATTTCAATTGACTTATGCTATCCAATTTACATATATTCACAGGCAGTTTGTTGTAAATCCTACACGACATACAAAATATGCTTCTATTTACAAGCGATCTTTAATTTTATGGTATAAGGGGGCAAACGAGCAGACTGGTCACCTGATGGTAAGCAACTAGCGGTTTCCATGGACACCTGCAACAAAAGTCAGAAGTGCGTTGCCGCCCTTGGAGACCCTCCCGCTCGAGTAAGCGGGCATCGTATTAGGCATCGTTTTTATTCATGGCGACGGCCATTTAAATGCCACCTCCAATATATCTTATATATATTGGAGGTGGCTATGTTTGTATGCATTAAATTAAGACTTTTAAAAATTGGTTGACAGCTGTCAGTACTCTAAAGTCTATAAATGGCTTCTATACATTGCTTTTGTGCTTTAAAAACATACTCCCAGTTAGTAGAGATTCCCTAAAAGATTATACCATATCGCATTAATCATTCTGCATATGCATGATATGCTGTTACAACCGTAGACGTATTAGCTGTTTTTGATAACACGTACAGAGCATACGAGCTTTCACTAAGTTTAGAGCATAGATTTTGAACTAGCTCTGTTCATAGGCATATTTTCCGAAATCCATAAAAAAGTAAGAATACTACAGATTGAGATAAGTCAGCTGTCTATGTTTTGTTGTGGAGCGTGTCAGTGCCAGTAGTGAGTAGTTCCAGTAAATCGGAACTGAGAGTCGCTAGTTCCAGTGAGTCGGCACTGACGTCCGCTGATCCCTGTGAGTCGGGATTGCGGTTGCTGCGTCGTGGCCGGTTTCTGCGTAGACAGGAGAGATATGCTCTTCTTACGTGAATCGTAGGTGCAGTGTGCTGTGCTTAGACGCTGATGAGGCCGTAGGGATCACTAGGTTGGAGCGGTCGTTACCTGCGTGTGGTATTTTATTCCTGTTGAGGCCAAGGTTGCTGGCTGACTGAGACTTGATTACTGGTCATCGCTGTGGGAGTGTACAAGATGTTGGCGACGGTGCTGCTGCTATCTTCTTTGAAGGCTGCTCTCAATCACGTCAGGGTCACCACTGTGGAGGAACGGGTGTCATGTCAATCCAATATCCGGTCGGAGGGTCCTCCCTCAGGACCCTCCGACCAGGCGAAGTGATCATACCTGGCGGGCCGCTGCCCGACGGTAAATGTTGGGGAGTTGTATATATGCTAATCGGCGAGAGAATTCTTCATATCGCGATACAGGAGTAGCAATTCTCATCAGGAGTTACTCCGTAGTTCGGTATGTCTTTGTTAGATGGCGCTGTAGTATCTTTCGCCACAATATTATATACTTATATCCGGACAAGAACCTATAAGTATTTCTATCTATTT